CAAACCTTAATAATTCAAAAAGTTCTTAATAAAAAAATACTTTATTATAGTGTTTTGGAAAGCTCTCGAGGTTAGCTACAAGAATATGTAATGAAAAATAGGGGTTCCAATTTAAAAAAAACAAGTTGACCTTGAAATGACCTTGAAGGTCAAGGTCAAGGTTAAATTCAAGGTCACCATCGGATAGCCAGGGAAAAATCCTAAAACTTTTGTATTTACCATTTTTCAAAAAAATTCAATCCAGACGAGTTATCCGAAGGTTTCCATACATTTGACTCACCCTGTATGATAGTTTATACTTTGCAATACACTCTTATGTAAATCTAACATCATTTGAACGAAATTACATTAGAAAGCGATATCCTAATCTGACTGAGAATAATGTAATATTTGAAAAAGTTACAAAGCAGCCAGACCTAGCATCGTGTGGGATATTTGCAGCAGCATTTGCTGTATCAATAGCATTGGGTGAAAATCCATCTTGTAAAAAATATTCATTAGATATGCAAATAATGCGTAGGCATTGTCTAAGGATCATTAATGAGAAAATATTACTACCTTTCCCAGAAGAATAATCTTGAATAAAAACTTATGAAAACTAAAAATAGAAATACGAGAAAAGAAATCAAATTCAACTATTACGTAAATTATTTTTGTGAAAATGCCGAGAAAAATGCATTCTGCGCTATGCGCAGTGAGTATTATAAAAATGCATTCTGCGCTGTGCGCAGTGAGTATTAGAAAAATGCATTCTGCGCTTTACGCAGTGAGTATTATGAAAATGCATTCTGCTCTGAGCTAAGTGAGTATTATGAAAATGCATTCTGCAATGAACGCAGTTCCTGCCACATTGACGGGCACATTAATTGTTAATTATTAGATGAACTGCTAATGAGCTCAGATAGTGAATCCCAAGAGTATCTTTCTAGAGATTATCCTAACTGTAAGTGCATTCCACATCACCATTGTAGGAGGAATAGGTCAACACAAACAGAGGAATCTCCAGTTGGATACACAGTTCTCAGATCTCTGGATTTAATAGAGATACCAAAACCAGTGTTTTGTGAAGAAAGAGTGGTGAGGGATCAAAGTACTCAAGTTAATTTAATTTTTAATTTAGATCCAAAAGATTTATAAAGAAGTTAACTTAACAGCTCAGGGACTATCGATAATAGGAGAAGATACACCAGACAATTCTGAATTAGATGAAATTATAGTAAAACATATATCTCCTATAAAGAAGATTAGGAAAAGGACAATCCATAAAATTCCACAATGGCAGATGCAAGCCTTCGAGAACGAATAGCAAAGTTGACTGTTGATAGAGATTATGTTAGTCAATTGGCTAACATTATTTCTGAATTGAATCTTAATAATGAAGAAGCTGAAGCTTATTTTGATACATTAAAAACTGAAGCCTTAGATGTATCTCTGAAGGAACTTAGAATTTTCAATGAGATTGCTAAGTATGAGGGATTTAATCCCAAAGATATGTTTGCAACATTGTTTGCTAGACATAAGGCAACCTCTGAAATGATTGCTACCAACCCAGGCTCAAAGATAGAACAAATATTAACTGCAGTTATTAACAATGAAGAGTATCAAATGACTTTTTCAAATAACATGAAATTCAATAGTGACATGCAGTATATTTGTTTAATGTTCATTACTAGAGGTGCTGCATATGACAAAATTATTAAAAAGAGTTCCGAAATGATGAAAAATTGTTTACAAATAATGAAAACAAAATACAATATTAATACCATGAAGCGTAGAGCTGGACAGTCACTAGAAGCAAAAACAGTTACTATACCTAGGATTGCAGTCACTTTTCCCAATATCACTGTGGATCTTTTCAACAAAGGATTTGGGAGAAGTGTCTACAATTATGAAGCAGTTTTCCCCGATAAGAATATCCCTAGAGCTTTCTTCTCTCCCATGATGACAGCACTGCTACCCCATAGTCCTGATGCACCATTAGCTGCAATGGTGCTTTTATCAGTTTTGACAGATGATGTTTTGAACCAAGTGGGAGAGAAAACAGGTCTTGAGCAAATTTATACATTCTCTCTTGCTTCATACAATTCTACTGCTCTAACAGAGCCAGTGAAAATAAAACTCTGCACTATGTGGAAGTTAACTACTAGACAGCCAAATGGGAGTTTTAAGTATAGTGTTGAAATCAAGAGTTTAAATCCTATATCTATAGAGAAAATCAGAAGGTTAAGATCTAATGACCCCAACCTTGAGTTTGTACTTAGTAAGCTAGAAAATTTGTAAAAAGGCTTGTAAGATATTTAAATGATATGTTTATTATGACTTTATCACGTGTAAAGCGCGGATAAGCTCGAACCGGAGCTGAGCCGTGCGCGCGAAAAGCCCGGGACTCGCCTTTGTGAAGGGACCAGCGACGGTCGGTCCTGCGAGCAGTACGCGATAATTAGACCTGAGTATCCGAGTTCATACGGATAAAGCCGCGCAGTGTTAGTGGACCATTTGTAACTTTATTGGTGCTTTAAATACAGTGCAGTTATAATCAACCATGAACCAAGTGATAAATTCAGTGCTTGCCCACCCACTCAAGTTCCCCCATCTTCCTGACCTAATCCGGCTATTCATTACATTTCAGCAATTTTATTATTTCCTAAATTATTGAGAGTCAATCCTGACACAGATTTTATATATAAATATACTTTTAAAATGTGAATTGAATCATAGGTTAGTTTCATTTTGTTAAGTTTAGTTTAGATCTTTCAATACATATATCCTTAAATTGTGAATTAGATTGTAAGTTAGTCTTATTGTTATGAGTTAGTTTTATAATATCCTAGTCTATAAGTTGTTTAGAATTAGTATTTTCTTGTATTGTATTGTTCATGTATTAAAGTTAATAAATAAGTTCATAGTTTAACAGTGAGTATGATGAAAATGCATTCTGCGTTGTGCGCAGTGATTACTGTGAAAATGCATTCTGCATTAAACGCAGTGATTACTATGAAAATGCATTCTGTGATAAAGGAAAATTAGTGATCCTTTAACTTGCTGTCGAGCGTAGATTGATAAACAAGAAACGGGAGATTTCTAGCTTTAGAAATCACGGTTATATTATTTAGTAAAGAGAGTAAGTATAATAGGGCTCCAGGCGAAGGTCTCTCTCTACTATAAAAACCTAACGCGCCATTAAGTGGAACCTCATGGGTGGTGTGAAAATCCACCATTCTAATCAAAAAATAAAGGTGCAATTTGAAAATTTGGCAGCATTATCATTGTAGCAAGTTGTCTATTTAAATTTGGCTTCCTCATAGAGGAAGCATGGTGAGTTAATGTGCAAATTAATAATTTGGACATTGCTTATTCTTAGTTGTAAAAATGCAAATTGGAAATTTGTACATTACTTCGTCATCATGAGGGCAAGTGATTATTAAAAATTTGGGCACCGTCATAGAAGAGGATTTGTGAGTTTAGGTGCATTATGGAAGTTGTCTAATCCAGAATTTTTATTTGCACACAACGCCTTCTCTATGAGAAAGCCATATCCAAATTTCTACTCCTCTTCGCATACGTGTTTTTGGCTTCCTCATAGAGAAGGCCAAATTTCCAAATTTTCAAATTGCACCTTTAAAAAAAATTGGCCACATGTTTGAAACAGTTTTTAAAGGAACTCTATTAATATACCTAATCTATTGCTTTTTCTAGTATTTACCCTTTCCTCAAAAAAAAATTAATAATTATCTTTTGTTGCCAGAAAGACATTAATCGAAAGTAACAAATAACCAAATGCTTTCTGCTCAAGTTTTGATACAAGATACAAAATAAGTATACTTATAAAAAAAAGTATACGACGGAATGGAATGGAGATCGCAGTTATACAAGAAGCTCCTGCACTCTGATTTTTCTTACGCTATTATCACAATGGCAAGTTTTCTTACTCAATATATGGCGTTTACTTCGTAAACGCTTCTGACGGTATCTGCCCACGTTTAAAGAACTCGTGAAAAGCAGAGAGTGCATTATCATAATTCCACTGAGTCTCTTGTAAGCACTTTAAGCTCCATTCCAGATTCATATTTGTATGCTGATTTAACGTCACCGGTTTCGCTACTTCTGAAGTTTCCAACGGCACCGTCTGCGGTTGCGGTTGACTTCTGAGCTGATTCAGTTGCTGATGCAGTTGCTTCAATTGCGCATCAGGCGGCTGACTAATGTGCATCTGTTCGTTTCGAATACAATAACCGTCACCTTCCGGAACAATTAGGAAGGTGCGGTTAAAGTGACGAATGGGCTCGTCTTTATCAAGTTCTTGAAAGTAACCCGTTATAGTAATGAACATCATTGCTTTCTGTAAATACATAAAAACTAATTGACTTATTTGTTTTCAATTAATAAAAAATAAATTATAAGTTTGTCTTTATCTCACATATGAGTAATAAAATGTAATACACAGCAGTATAATAGGACAACTCGTAGTTATATATAATTACTTACTGTTGCAAGAGTGATGTCCATGGTAAAGGTATTCAATAAATGCCTGGTCTTTGGCATTTCCGATATAAACGAAACTACAGGCAATCTACCCTGTTTTAATAACTTCTGTCTTCTATTTGAATCATTTGTTCTAAATAAGTTTCTATTCTCCGTGAAATACCCATTTAACTTGTGATTATTGTTATGGAAATTGGTTATCGTCAGGCTTAAGCATGCATTTTCGGCGTATGCATCGAGTAAAGGTTGATTATCGCTATCAAATATCGTGAAGTATTGTTGCAAAAACTAGCTCGCTATCTCTTGAATTTTAGGATCCGAAACATTCTTTGCGATGGAGGTATCCTGGCAGTTATGTTGATAACATAAAAAATAATTGGACGCGGTAATTCTATGCCATCCAATCGTAGCAACCTGGGGAATCTCTTTCGAACGTCAGTTGTGTAATCACTTTGCCGGGATTTATACCTGTTGCACACAGGGTTTCCCGACAAGTTCAATTCTTCCAATTTGAGATTCTTAATACCATTCAGTTGGTGAATATCTTTGATCTAAAATATGCAATAAATCAGGTTTTAAAACCGGGACATTATATTGACGATCACGTCATATATATATTTTTTATTCGCGCGGTCACTTACCGTATTATCACCAATATAAAGAATCTTTAATTTCGAGAACTTCTTATTCAACATCTCAAGTCTCTCGAGATTCTATAACTTGTTGCCCTCTAAGTTCAATGCTTCTAGATTCGGAATGTGTTCCCCAACAATATCCAACACAGCCATCAAGACATAACAGGGTGACACAAACTGGAAATCCGGGCTTCGCCTTCACTTGTAACTTGAATCCATCATTCACCTTGCGATCGCAACGCAACAATACGTTCGCCGTCTTATGATCGTCAATATAGAAACTGGAATAATATTTTCCTTCTCATACTTATTACCAAATGGTATCTGTAAGACACAAGTAAAAAAATTTAGTCCAAGCTGTAATATACATATCATTGACATAACATATATATTTGCGTACAAAACTCTCTCGCTCTCGCTCGAGATAAGATAAGGTCGATTCAGACTATACGTAATACATCTATAGACATATAAAAGATAGACTGCTTATGAGGTAGTGGGGGATGTCCTCCTGAGGGAAAAGGACAACACCAATTTATTTGGGTATCTATCTTCTTCTAGTGTACTTCTAGTCTACGTGTGATCACGTGTGATCACGTGGGCGTGATCACGTGATCGCCTTCAAATCACGTCCACTAGAGGAAGACAGATACCCAAATAAATTCAAGTTGTCCTTTTCCCTCAGGAGGATGCACCCACCTAGGGTTCCACTGCCTCATAAGCAGTCTATCTTTTATATGTCTATGAATACGACACGGACCGTCACGTTCCGGCAAGGACACGGATCGGCAGCCATTGACGGAACATGCAGGTCGGTGCCGGTCCGTGTCGTTGCCGGAACGTGCCGGTCCGTGTCGCTTAGCCTGAATCGACCTTTATTCGTTAACAAATTGATTTGCCACTTTTTCTCCCGCGCAGTTAATTTCCTCCGTATCGCGCGACCGACTTGATCATCCGCGCTGCAGAGACGCGCGTATCAAAGCGGGGAAAAAAATTGCGCAGTTGCATACTCGGCACAGAGCAGAGCGTTCATCTTTTCTTCTCGTATCCAACACCAACGGACCGTTGCAGCGCGTACGCAAAATGAACCGAACAGATAAACGCGGGCGGGATATCATTTCGCGCTCCCGCGGGAGAAAACCGCGAGCCCGAATCGCGCGTAGCGAGCCGTGAAGCGGCTGAGAGCACTCACCAAAATACCCGTTGTTCTCGTTTCCTCGGTTACGTCGGCCGCCCCATCTATTGTTGCCTGATCTTTTCGGCATCTCGCTCGAGTCCACGGAACACAAGGGATCCACGAAGCGAAAACCGCGAAACATCTAGAAAATCTATCCTATCTACTCGCACAACCCTACTCCTAACGTCTCTCTTTGCCCTTCACTTTACGAGCTACGCAAGCACATCCGAACCCTAGCTACGCTGTGGCACGAATGAGCGGGAAACGAGCGAGATGCGCCGCGATTCGCGGCTGTCGGGTCGTGACGACGCTGCGCGCGCATGCGCAGAGGGGGAGCCGCCGATGACGACGCGACCGATGATTGGCCGAACCGTGCGGCAGCCTGCGTACTTTCCCCGAAGGGCGGTATTTCTTGTGGAAATTTTTCTTCTATCCTTCTTCGGCGCGTAACGAATGACAAGGATAGAAAGCGGGCGGTTCAACGTACATACGGTCGTCTAAACACGGCGCAGGCAAGAACCTGCAAACTGACCGTTCATTCTCACGGTCTTTGCAGAAACTATATAGCGGAACGAGTCTGTTTTGAAAATATTTTCTGTCCCTCTGCAAGTTTGCAGAGAAAGAGAGTTTATTGTTGAAAGCTATCACGTTGCTTTGTGCTCTGTCCCTTAGACAGCGTAGATTAAAGGCTGGTTTATGCAAGGCCGTGACCGTTAACTTGTGCCGGAATCGGTAAAAATTAACAAATTACAGCCAACTATTCTCTACACGTTTAACGTATATACACTGATTATTTTTTCCACAAAATCTGTAAAATATACAATTGCTTGATGTGTGATGTATTAATGAGTGATAAATGGTTTATTACTTAAATATTAATCTGAATTTGGTTCACGCAATGTTTCATGTAAAGCCCTCAAATAGTAAATCTATAAATATTTTTCTTAATTTTTCCACTGCGAGCTTTTGGTATGATTCATTACATGTATACTGAATATCTTATTTGAATTATTATGCATGTAACGTACCAAAATATAAGATACGTGCTATGCATATATTTTATTATTGGTATGAACAATTTACTTCTTGCAATACTTTGTACTACTTTAGACACTATTTTAAGGGTATTATGTTAATATTGGAATTAATATTACTTAATCAAATGTAAGACACACATTTTAACGGTAATTGAATATCATTAAATACTAATAATAATATATTAGGTGTATACGTGTACAAAGCGCAATTCGTACTTAAGGTATGCCGAAAAAATATGTAATAATTTCGAATCGTTTAATTTATTAGTTCACTGATACGTCTTTCGTTACTTGGCCCGAATATCAGGTGTGACACGAAGCACTTTGTCAAATGTACTGTTTCTTCGGAAGGAAATACGAAAACAGTAGGTCATCAAAACAGTTATAAGTTGATTGTAAGTGGTAAATAATAATAATAATAATAATAATAATAAATATACTTTCATAAAGTCGTCGCGAAATTTAAAATTTAATAAGAATTTAACAACAGTGTATAAATCTTTAATGTTACAATTGATTTACTTGACTCAATCGTTTCTTTAATGTTACCTATTTCTAAAAATAACGCCATATTTTTAGAGTAATCTCATAAATCTTATTAGTCCAACTTGAATTGTATTTTACTTATTTTTTACGCATAATGCCGTAAAGTTTTTATGACTCACAAAAATGGCAGGGACAAAAGAGAGGGAGGGAATATCAACGCAGAGAAGCCCATTTTAACGTTCGAAAATAATCCCTCATGAAAAAGGGATGTTACCCTCGTGATTGTCGTTATAATCGAACAGTCGACACCTCTTTTCCGCGATACCGATTGGTTTTCTCAATGGGTGTGCTTCGCTTCTCTTTCCTTTTAAATTAGTGTCATGCTTCACTTCTTCTGCGCAGTTTAATCTCTGTCATGTTATTAATTAATTAACCTTTTATAAAGTATTTCCATGTCAGCAATTTTATAATTTCACATGTCTGTAAACTTCGAAGTCAATTAACCTCGAGAATTTTTTATTTGCTTGTTCCTATTTTGAAAAAGAAATTTAAATGTTAATGTTAATTCTCTTGCATATACTCCTCATATCTAATTTTGAGCATAAGAAAGGAAATGAATCGTAGGAGTTACGTGGAAATAAAATTTTCGGAAATCTTACAATTAGTAGATTAAATGCAAGTAAAGTTCACTATCTTGTTTAATATTACGCAGCAATCTTGCTGCATCTTGTACCGTTTCTTCTGCCGAAAAATATATACTTATTAAATATTAATTACATATTCTTTGTTATTACGTATTATTTCTTATATATGAAAGAAGTGTAGAAAAAGGAAGACCAAGGAAAAGACGTAAGGAATATAATGCAATCCGTCGCTTTTGATATTATTATAGTATCGATTTTATTATTTGTATATAGCTATACAGAAAAATCACGCTTACAATTGTATAGTCGCTTAACGCTCAAGCTCGATTACGTCGGAGTTCCCTCGATAGCGCGATTGTAAACGTGTTATTCGCGATCGTGTTAGTACGCGCCCTTCCGATACACAAGTTTCAAACGATTTCTCAATTATATCACAGAAATACAGACTTTGAATTCGAGTGACAATTTAAAATCGTACAATTACAAAACCGTGTTCGTCATGAGTGATTGAAAACCTCGTAGAAATTATGTAAAAATCTGTGCGTGAACGCTAATTAGAAACGATCGAGTTTCTTTTTTAATCACCTCTGACTAATTTCTCAGAAAGAGAAATAAATCGACGGTTCACGTTCCTCCAAGCGATACACACGTATATCTTATCGTCTGTTACAATTGTATATGTACAGTTTTCGTAATTGTTGTTTATAACACTTAAAAACTACTATAAGAGTTAATACGGTGTTATTATAAAATGTTATGATTATAGCTATTTATATCCATAATATCATCGATCTAAAAAGTGTATAACAAATTCCCTAGCATTTACGACAATAATCATTAATAATGACGGGCAAGCAGTCTGGTTACCAATAACAATTGACGTGTCAAAAAAGAAAATTGTCTATTAAACATTAGTGCAACAAGTAAATAAAAAGTATACCAACAATTAGTATAATTTGTAGCGTAATATTTGCAAATAGAAAGGAATTATTATTACACGCAAGTCTCACGTACATTAACGTATCTCTGTTAATTATATTACAAAGTTATATCTCAGAAAATAAATATTCGATAAAACACGATAATGTCGTAGAGTAAAAAATCGAGATGCTTCCTTCATATCTCGAGAAATACGAGTCTTCCTCGTCGTTATGTTAGGCACAAATATTTCTATACTACTAAGTAGCATATTCAATCTAAAACACGTGTTTGATATCGCGCAAAATTTTCATTACTCACTAAATTGAAAACTTGGTTTTCAATTTTTTTTTCAACAACTATAAAGTAAAGATTTGCAACTTTGCGACGCAGTGAAAATCTCAGGGCCATTTAGCATTCAAAGAAATAGTCAGAAAGCTACTGAAATCAGTTCCTTTGATACTAAATGATCCCAAATCTTTTCCCTGGTGCAAAGTTAACCCTGTCAATGCAATCTTAGACTCGAAATTAATTCTATCTAATACTGATATCAAGAATGACTTACATAAAATCGTAAACTCTTCGTCTCGTAACACAGGATCGTATCTTTCGATCGTATCTTTCGACGAAAACGCGAATTATCCGAGCTATAAAAAATTTGGTATGGAGATGCAAAAGAGAGTGACAAAAACATACGTCACGTTCTATTCAATTCGAAAACTTGTAAATCCTGTTTACAGCTAGAACCGATATAAAATCTGTGTACTCTCGATATGTTTCTAACTACATGTATACGTACGTACGTTCAATTACTCTGTAATATCTGATATTTAGACCAGCGCCCCCGCTATATCCATAATCTCGAAGATTGTCCATAAATTTTTTTGTAAACTTGTACTTGTTGCTTTGCATCAGGTATCTGGATCGTTGCGTGTATTGTACACGCACTATATCATCGAGTGTTCGATGTCAAATGTTCAGAAATCTTTCGACAATATTCATTTCTAGACATTACTTCCAATATTGATAACGTGTCGATCGGCGGCTCTTAGATACACACCGCCTCTCGACAAAAGTTACGACAATGCTCCTTAGTTATTTGTTGAAACGTGTTCTCTCTAAGCATATCTCCAATAATCCCAATTTCAAAACTCCTCGAAATAAAAGGTCAGGAATTGTAGATCCTTGCCTCAGCCCTCACGCGGTATCCTTTCGCGGTAATTTTTAATTATGAAATCGCTACTGAGTCGTTTGTATTTTTACGTGTGTCTAATTGGTCCGCAGATACCGATCGATGTTCAAATTTCTTTCGATTCTTGTAAAGAGAACGAATCTTATTGCGTTAAAACTATCGAATCTGAATGTATAACGTAGAATACCATTGCTTATTGTGTATCGTAAATTGTCAACACGTGCCGTTTTTTTTCTCTTTTTCCTTCCGTAAGTGCGAAAAATGCCATTACTATTGTGGTCCTTCTCCGTGAAGTAAAGTGAGTATAGCATTTCTGAGAGCGAAGTTCGCAGTAAAGGAAGTATCGTGCAACGGTTCGTTTGTCATTGGACTGGTGTATTTTCCACACAGGAACCATTCGTTTATTGCTGCCCTTTCATAAGTAAATCCGTCTGGAAATAATAATTGTACATAATTGGACTTGTGAAGATAGATATTTCGTAGATACTTTGAAGTCATTTTTGTTTGACGCAAAAAAAAGCAAATCTTTGTGTGACATTTGTACCTGAGCACTGCACAGGTTCTTTCATTATCTCGTGCGTTATAGGACACAGGAATTCGTGGGGAATTTCAGATTCGTCTATGTTCTCCATAACGTTGCAGTCCTCGCGCTTCAGCCAATATAATTGCTTCTTCAATATTTCCACCGCCTATAAAAATTCTGGTGTAACGAATTTGATACAATAAGCCAGATAAAATCATCATAATGTCGTGCACCTCTTCGTCGTCTTCGATTTCTAACCGGGATATCAGTTCGTTCTCCGACACGGATAGCAAATGTCGTCCTGTCAATCCCAAAGTCAATGCTTTCCTAGACAATCTGGATAATTCAATGTCGTTCAACCATTTCAAAGTGTCGTATAGTTTCCAATCCGCGACCTGAACAAAATTTTATTCAAATAGTAATATCATTCGAGTCGCGCGTTTCATTCGTTTAATTTAAAACTGTGTCGTGTAATTACTGACTCTCTTCTTCTTGTTTCTCAAGCTATCCATCAAATTACTCTGAGACACCAACTGTTGAGGCACCTTCCAGACCAAGACGGTCTTGTCCAATGCACCTAAACATTATTACGGTTGCGGTAAAATATTTTCACGCTTGCTGATACTAATCGTATCTTCTATGCGAAACAGCAAACAAATCTTTAATCAGTTTGTATTCCTTCAGCAATTATAGAAATAACATTCACAAAGTAAACAACTTATATAAGACTAAGTGTGCAACTCGATAGCTACGTATATAAATTTATAACGTTGTGCAATAAATAGGAGTCATAATAGTTTCGAGACCTGTAGCGAAAAATGACGTGTCCTCGGAAAATGCGCACGACGTAACAAGACTATCGTGATCCTCCATGACGTACAAACAGCTTCCGGAAAACTGAAAGCACATTCCCATAAATATGTCCTCGCGTTTCTTCTTATCAAGCGTAATTGTCTCGGATCGCTTACCACGCTCCATATACGGGCCGTTCTATCTGTTGCGACGCTACCTACAACTTCCCCGTGGACGGGCGAGAAACGGACACACATTACGTTTCCACCGTGCCCGGTCAAAGACTTCTTCTCCTTGTAACGCGTGCCGACATTACTCGAACTAATGCTGTCCGAATCGGACGGTGGGTCGTTTGAAATAATTACGTGCCAGAGTTTAACCAACGAATCATTGCCGCACGTCGCCAGTAAATATATCTGCTGGTTCACATCCGTGTCCCTTGCTGCAAGTAGTTGGTTCATTGTTGATTATCTAATAAACCTTTTTTATTTAATTAAAATTTTTCTAAAATGAGATTGCCAGATACGGCCAACAAAATTTGATACTGTGAATTGACAATATATTAATTCACCGATTTTAATCTTTGAAGTAATAATTAAAGTAATAATAATCAAAAGTTTTATCTCCTACACGCACTACACATCAAGGAGCCTGGGGTAGGGCTGAAGTCGCAGCCTTGGACACCCAGATCGTGACTCGCGTCGCAAACCAGCAATGCTTCCGAACCGTTCTTCTCGTCTAGAGTGTCAAAGAGACGCCAGGTGCCTTCGTTGCACGCAGTCACCAGGTATCGGGAGTCGTGTGTAAACGCAATGGTCGATATCGCGTCGGCGTGACCTTCGAAGACACTGCAAAGTTGCCTAAAATTACTGTTAACTATCTACAGATAGAAAAATAATCCATTGAGTCATTTATTGAAATGTATATATACATGCTGCGTAAAACATGATTTTTTCATGACACATGGATTCAAATTATGCTTATATTTGTAACTCAAAGTTTATAATTGTGGAATATCTTTAAAGCTCCCATTTTCATGAGAAATCTTAGATTTTTCAATTACAAATAAGTAATATATTCTATTGTATATATATTCTATACATCCCAGCAACACCAATGTAAATATTGATGTTATGTAACTGTTACTTTGGTGTCTACTGGGATTATATTGAAGCACACATACTGCAACTGCTCCATAGAGTCTATGTCCCACAACGTAGTCTTTTCGTCATCACCAGCGGTAGCAATCTTCGTGCCGTCAGGTGACCACCGACACACGCGAATGCCTGTACCAGAATTGACAAACGAGGGCTTTGCTTGATCTCCGCTCTGTCAATGAAAAATTGTCAATAAGAAATTAGGAAAGAAATTAGAAATACAATGCTATTTGCATTAGAGAAACGGTCGTCACTTCTGTGTTCCAAACTAAAGTCGTCCCGTCGAGAGAACAGGAGGCGAGCATTGAACCGCACGGGCTAAATTCCACATAATTGGCGCTGTAGGTGTGAGCGTCGAGTGGACTGAACGGTTTCTCCTGTATTTTGATCACTTCCTCCCCGTCCTCCTCTTCCGTTTCGACGCTCCAAATGCGCACCAGTTTATCGCTACAAGTGGAAAAAGGGTTGCGCAATCAAATCGCTAGTTTTACAGTCTTAAACTCACCCTGACGCCGAAGCTAAAAGATTATTTCCGTGGAAGGCAACGCTGTTCACCGCACCACTGTGCTCCTCCAATCTCTGAATCAATCTCACTTCGTTAGCGTACGTCTCGACGTTTCTCATCACGTCGTGTTCACGCATGGTGCTCTAAAATGGAGAATCTCGTTAACGCTGTCACTTGTAGATTATTATTTGCGATTGACCTACCTGTTCAGGATCATTCACAAACCACTTCGTTCCAACGTTTCTCGAGAGTTCCGAATCAATAGTCAAGTTCCCAGTCAAGTCCCACGCGATTACTGATTTATCGTTAGAGCCTGTAATTATGTAAAGTGTCAATTGCCGCGAAATTATTAATTTTTTCTTTTCGTGAATTAAGTAGAGACATTACCTGTCGCTAATAAGCTTCCGTCACGCGAAAAAGCGCAGCAAGCTATGTATCTATTGTGACCGGACATTATCGACATGACCTTTCCTGAGCTCTGCAATTGGATTGCAAATTAATAAGAGGGCGATTGCCGAATTGGATTAATTTTTCTCCCCCAAAAAGATCGTTTACCGTCTCCCAAATTACTGCCGTTTTATCGAGGCCACAGCTGGCGATATATAATCCGTTGCTGCTAAAACGGACGCAAGTTAAGGCACTGCTGTGCTTTTCCATCACTCTGCAAAGCTGTACAGTGGCAGTAGAGGGTTGGGCCTCGCACTTATGCTGGCTCACTGTGACCTCCCACAATTTTACGTCGTGATCGTTGCCGCACGAGACCAGTTGATAGAGCTTGGTGTACGGCTCGTTACCTGTGGCAATAATTGTGTTACATCGCGCAGGACGTTGCGTCTCATCTCTTCTACCTCTACAAAATAGTGCGTCGGCAACGTTTGCGTACATGTGACCTCTTGGAAAGTCGAGAAGTCGCAGCAAACCACCCCCATGTCGTGAGCGTCGTCAATCGAGACAAGTTCGGCGATGTCCTGATTACTAGAGGTACAAGTGTCGATCAATTCGGCAGTGGAGAACAGCTTTAGAACGCCCAGCGTGCACGAGGTGATCAGCCAGCTCGAGTCCGGCGAAAAGGACAAGCTTTGCACGGCACCCTCGTGCTTTTGAAAACATCTGGAAATCGAGGTAACAATGTGCCTCGTGAGCGTTTGATCAAAATGCAAATTAAGGGGGCCAGGAAAGAGCCAATATTGATGCGAAAAATGTCTTGGACTGGAACGTACTTTTATTAAATTATTAAAGAAAAAAAAAGAACGTATCCTCCGCAAACGAGCTTGCCTGATTAAATTGCGATGAATCAGATCCCAGATACAGACTTGCCCGTTATCTCCGGCGGTCGCGAGCAATGTCGAGTCCGGCGAAAATCTGCAGACTCTCACCGCTTCGCCGCCCACTTGCACCATAGTGTGTATCTTCGTCCCCGTCTTCGAAATGACACAAATTTACATTAACTCAAGGACAATAATCGCTAGAACATGATTCACGATTCTAAATCATTTACGTGACTTTTCACGGGAGACTATGTTTCTTTTATCGTTACTTGCGCAACATAGCTGTAACTCACTTTGACTTCTACACGTGTAGATATACAGGGTGTACTAAAACCACCGGATATCCTTTTAATCATAAATTCTTTAGAAACTTTGAAGACAAAAATTCTAATACAAAAATGTCGAGGCTGTAATAGTTTTTAAATAATAAGCGATTACATTTCACAAATGACAGGCCTGAGATTTCGCGCGCTCAGGTACGGCGACACGACAAGTGATAAAGGTGTTCCTACGAATATCGCCTTTTTTAGCATAGCGACAACTTTCACAACAGACTTAACGATTCATTCTCGAATTAATTGTTCCTCTTGTTATCTTTAACCATTTTTTTGTTAACTTTGCGTAACGTCTTATTAATAAAAGGGAGGGGTTCACTATGATGAGCATCTTGATCAGACTGATATCCCTCGATTTAGTCGATCTCCGATATTCTGAGTGAACTTGGAATTTTCAGTTGGATTCAATCTAGTCTCCCGCCTCTCTTTATCCTCAAGTTTGCAAAATAACCGGATCATCGTCTTCCCAAATATTTTCTGTCCCGTTAAACGGTGACTTTGGTTCTCGCTCGCTCGCGAAACACATAGGAACACTTTTATCACTCGTCGTGTCGCCGTGCCTGAGCGCGCGAAATCTCAGACCTGTCATTTGTGAAATATAATCGCTTATTATTTAAAAACTATCATAGCCTCGACATTTTTTTATTAGAATTTTCCTCTTGAAACTTTCTAAGGAATCTGCGATTCAAAGGATATCCGGTGGTTTTAGTACACCCTGTATATACATATGTATATGTATGTATACATAAAAGATTCATTGTGTCATTAATCTTTGAAGCCACGAAGAGAAGCTCGATAGTCGCGGTCGCAAAGCCCGCTTCGTGGTTTTTCCGCATTTTTAAACCTACTCGCAAGTTCCAGAGCAGCGTGGTGCCGTCTATGCTGGAGGTGGCCAGCATGGTGGACTGCGGGCTGACCTTGACCGAGGTCACGCCGTACTTGTGCCCCATCAGGGGCGAGAAATAAGCCTCGACGTAGCCAGTGCCGGGCTGCCATTCCCAGACCCGGACGCGTTTGTCCCTGTGTTGAACAAGAAATAAGAGGGAGAGAAAGAAATGAGCGATGCTTAATCGCAGCGCGGCGCCCAGCACCGCGGAATCGCGCGTGTATCGATAACCGATATTTACCCGGATCCCGTCACCAGAACGCAATCGCCGGCGAAGTCGACGCTGTTTACATCGCTACTGTAAACTGTCAGAGTTTGCAAGGCTTGCACGTCGCCTATGGCAGTCATGTTTTTTTCAGATTAACGGGGTTCTTAGCTGTAAAGACGTATGAAACATTAATCAGCTGTGTGTCACGCCCCAAAGTCACACTGATATCGTCCACGCTAATGAAACGGGCGCGTAATAGCGTCGACGATTCTTTAGTTTCCTCGGCGGGAAGCGATCCCTTGGGAAAATTTATCTTAGATAAACCTTAAAATTTTACTTTAGAAAACCAAGAAAATATGAAAAGTAAATTTGGATACTTTAAACTCTTGTTCAAGGTAAACTTAAAACCTACTTTAAGAATTTCAAAACTTTAAGAATTGTGAAAAGTATATAATATAATTTATAATACCGCGTGCGCGGTTTTCTTCTTACGAGAAAGTGCTACGCCGCGCGGCCCATTTTAATTTTAATTTGTCTTCACCTCAGCCGTTCTTTCCGTGCGGATAAATTAATAATTTAATCGGCAAAATTAACCATCGTGAACACTGTTCAACTGAATGATCCGATGGAAATTTTTCTCAGTGTAAAAGTGAGTAGCTTCGTCTCTTTTGAACTAGGCCGCTTACTTTTAGCATTTTCTCTATATTGTAAGATACTGAATTCACCCTCTCCTATTCGACGCTATTTAAGAACGACGGATGACGAAATTAATATCGCCGCGGGCTACCTGCCTATCGATTTGAAAATGAAGCCGCGGACGACACGTAGACCTCCACGGCGGACACTGAACGTCAGAAATGTCAGAGTGTCGATAAGCGCGATATCCTATCGTTACATCATAAGCCGCTCTACTCCGGCGCTATCGTGTGATTACGATATTTGTCACAGGTATCTTTAGAATTGATGTATTCCCTCGCCGGACGCGCGTATCGTACGCTCCGTCCATATAGCTGTCACGTGGAAATGTGAGGGGGTAACGAGGCGCGCACGAGGAGCACCTTTTAACCTTCGCCTTTTAAACGCTCCGCGAATCAGATGCGGTGCCGCGCGTATCCCTCAATAATACATGCGTCCTGAATCGACTGACTGTTCTACAGGTGGGCATACGTATAAAGGCGACCTAGGGAGCGAGGGGGGGGGGGGGGGGTTCTAAAGTTTCTGAAAGTCGGACAGCCCTTGGCATTGACCGCCGCGCGTCGTCAAAGGCGCCCCCGCCGCCGCAAATTGATCCCACCACGTGCATCGCGGTTTCATTATTCCGTAATCAACGATTCAGCACACACACACTTCTTGGGGGACGAATCCGTCTACAGTCCCCGTTTGAAGACTATATATTCCGCCTGCAATTAAATGCCCGCGATTTCGGGCGCGGTCGCCTAATTTTTTGGGACTCTATTGTGAATCTTTTCCTCCGGCGTGAACTCGTGAAAAGATGAAAACTTTGATTGGCGACATTGAATTCGTCAATAAAATCTTTCACTTTTCCGCGTTAACAGTCTCTCCCAGTGAGTTCTGTAACATACTGGAGTGAATGGTCCCGTTACTCCCGTTGTTCTCGATCACCGCCGAAAAAGAGGTGCTGTTGGGCGAATCTCTGTCTCTTTCTCTGTAATCTGATTTGTTGACGATTTTCTATCTCACGATTTCTATCTCATCTGATATAAGCTGAGATAGAAATCGTTGACCAATCAGATCAGTACACGGAGAGAATTTTCTCTAAACATTTATCCTAAAATCGCGTAATCGTCATGGAACAACGTGGCATTTCCAAGAATTTTATGAGATTTTTTTAAATTTTGCTAGCAGAATGATGAAATTTCAAAAACCTCTCGTCTTCAAAATGCCATGTTATCCCACAATTACATGACTTTCAGGATACATTTTGAGAGAAAATTCTCCCCGTGCAGAGAAAGACATTCTCTCTCTCGGCGCATCGAGAACAATAGGACCGCTCGCTCCAGTGTGTTATAAATCTCTCCTAATGGTTACCTTGTACATACACACCGGCCGTCTTCGCGCGACTTCTATTGCGGGATCTGTTACGGTCAATTTTTCGCGATGTAGAGACAAGAAGCGTCAGACTCGGGACGGCTCTATAATCGTCCCAACGCTGACGTGTACATAAAAGCTCATCGATTGCCACTTATCTCTAGCATCTACGAATGAGCGCAAACATTACTGCATCATTACGTCCGGCGATCGGTATCGTGGTTTAAAAAGGACAATAGCTCGCTATATAAAGCAACCGCTGTCGGCCGTGTATAATTAATCATCAGATAAGGGTCCAGGCGCGGCGATACGTTTCAAGATGGAACTGTAACGATAAACAAAATTATATTGTTTGCGCACACACGCGACGTTATTTGTCTATCTCGCGCACAAAGTACAATAGGTATTTAACGCTTGCAATGAAATGCATTAAATTTATCTGAAAAAAATTGTCAAACTACCGCTTGCGCGTGAAGTGTCGCTGCCTCTGCTCGTATCACGCGTGTTTAGAAACCTAATAATAACAATAATAATAATAATAATACGTTATGATATGTGCAATATCATTGATAATTTTTTAATTCCGTAGCTTCTATAGTCGTGTAAACTTCATTACATTGGCTGCGTCTGGCGGACAAAGCTGCTTTGCAGTTGTAAAATTTGTGGAGTCTGGAGTACGCTCTCAGATTCAGCCAAGATTAAGAGCGTACGCCAATCAGATTCAAGATTTTTACAACAGTCGCAAAGCAGCTTTTTTCTGCTGAACGCGGCCAATATAAATGTTAAATGACAATAAGGTTTTGAACCTGGACTTCCCTTCTCTCTAGGCGGGCGTATCGCCAATTCGACCACTGAGGCATGTACATTCTCATAAGCTTTGATTATTCTTATCTATTACTGACAACTTCAAGAAATTTCTATGTTTAAATATCAAATGATTCCACAGGCAATGCAGTTTCCTAAAGATAGTTTTGTACTGGAAAGAATTGATATTTCAATTTCAATCGAAAATATATTATCCATCGTTAATTATAATTTCCTCCCGTCTTGAGTTCAAATTTTCACTTCCCTGGGTCTCTTATTCCGTACACGGTTACCGACAACTGTCGACGTTTGCGCAGCTTTTTTACATGATAGAAAAGCTGCGCGAACGATATCGGTAGTTGTCGGTGACCGTGTACGGAATAGAGCCCCTGGTAAGAGTCTCTCGGTTTCGAGCTAAAGGATAAACCGAGCTCCCTTTTACACCGCATTATTTATGGGATGACCCAATGAGTGCACGAAGGGGAAATTAAATCTTGGTAGAACGCGAAATTATATTGACCGTAAACTTCGTCGCGTTATGAAAATATAAGCGCATGCACGAAGGAGAAATTGGAAATCTAAGGAACGTAAAATTATATTCATCGCGTTATGAAAATATAAATGAGTATGTAGGAGGAAAAGGTAGAACGCAAAATTAAATTAGTAAATCTTATCATGTTATAAAAAGATAATGAGTAAAGGAA